GAGATAAAAACAGGATAGACGCGGCGGTGATGGGAGCTAGTGGGCTGACAGTAGTTTTTATAAGAAACGTTGTCCATGTGGCAAAGGCCTGACCATGAGACTTACTCAGAGGCTTTAGCCTCGAATTAGTCAACCAGACGCAGGGTAGGTCCAATAACGCCTCGGGTGGCACAGATGGGGTGGCAGGGTTCGAGTGAAATATGTGAACCAGGAAGAGAGCAGACGGATCTTACGGGGCAAGAGAGAGACTGTTGTAAGACCTAGGGAAGGTGGACTGTGTAACAATATGACAGACTTTGATCAACATTCCCAGCACAAAAATGAAGGGCGGTGAGAAGGCCAGTGTGGAGTGTGGATGGTTCTCATGAAAGCCGCTCAAAAGGACACAACGTACCACATCAAATTAAGCAAGTATGTGACAGTGAAGACGTGATCGGTTATAGGAAATCTGAATAGGCCAGGGCAGAAGGGGAGATACCATAACTGTTTAGCACACGTTTTGTCAAAGGATCGGCTTCCTTTGTCTCTTTGACGAGTTATAATATGGTGCTCAAAATTGCAAAACTGACTGACGTTGCCGGCGAAATGTGTGGGAATGTACCACCTCCAAGGTCCGACTTTGGAAATGATTATGCATACAATGGACTCCGGACAAGGGTGCGTTCCTCTAAGTCTTCCTACCAATATGACCAAGTTACGAAAATAAGGTCAAACAACTTCTACACAACGAAAAGAGACTGCGACCACACAAAATGCCACGCCATCTTGGTCTTCATACCTTTGATAAGTACGTAAAATGGCTAAATCACTCCATCTATATTTTTTGTTGTGAGTAGATATTATATAAGGTAGAGCGAGCGGGTCTTTTTGGCTTAAACCTATCGTAAAAGCGGAATGGGGTTTGGACTAAGGACATGATATGACGGACGAAGGTTCAGTCCGTTTCTACTTTAACCGTAAGTTGATATCGTGAACCACGCTACTCTTCACGTCGTACTAGAATCAAACAACTGGAATGAAACGGAAATTGGTCACTATCTTCTGATGGGATCACACTGAATCTCTACCGCAGCCAATATACGCAAGAGTATATAGCAATTCAATTACCGTGTGAGTGTGTAAGAATGCCCTAAAGTGTGACTATAAAAAATACTCACGCCTATAACTTAAACCTCAATAATCGAATATTCCTTCAGAATCCTAAATATTGTTACCAATAGGCGACAAAAGGCGTGATAAGGAATAAAACGGAATAAGTTTGCATCGTGTAAAATTATAATTTATTTTCCTTTTTCCTTTCTGCCATGCTCACAGCGAAGCATATCTACAATTTAAAAAAATTAAATTTGACCATTATAATGTTTTGAATAATTTTATTTATTAAAAGGTAAGTATAAAAACGTTAAAAAAAGCCAATGAGCTAGTAGTTACTTTTTATTCTAGTCAGTTTGGCTACGTTTATCATCACAGTCAGTCAGAAAGCGTTTATCTCTCAACTCACGCAGCACCACTCGGATCATGACCGGGAGCATCGATATTGTCCCACGGGGAATAAGCGAATCTAGTCACCACATCGAACCTCCCGGTTTAACTAATCAGAACGTGGCATCAACAGTACAAAAGACTATTTTAAGGACAGGGACTCATTAAACTAAATGCATTCCTGCTCCTCTTCTCTCTGTACCTTTTTATCCTCTGTGACCCTCTGGCACCGTACACTGCCCTCTGGCACCAACATCACACTCCGCCATCGGTCTTGTTCTCTCACATCGAATCCTCACCTGTGACTTTTCTCGTTTCTCTATACAAGGTTGTGATATCCTACACAGTAGTGCGAAGCCGAACACACATATATATAGTGAAGAATTTATATCACTAAAAGCTCCATAACAAGCTTCGTAGTTGAACTAAAATAAATGTATAATGAAAGGATGTAGGATAAAGCGATGTCTGGAATTTAAAAATTTCTATGACGATCTATCTTGATTTCGAATTTAAGGCAGAATTACTAAGATATCCAAGGTAGGCATTCAACTTGAAGAAAACTTTGACTTTTGCTTAAAGAATGTGAAAACGACCAATAAGACGACCAAGAAAGCTTTGGCATGTCTAGTGAAAATATTGACTTACGATTGTATCCTTTGATCTATTGTAACCAATGAACTCTATAGTCTAGTCCTATAATAGATATAAGGAACAAGATGATCTAGTAGTAGGTTTGGTTGTCGAATATGCGGAAAATACCAAGTTTAACTTTCTGCCTCTGCAAATCAGCACGACTACTACGGCAGAGGACACTGTATGAGAATAAGTTCTTCTAATGCCAGAATTTATATATAATAAAAATCCGCCTAAGGTGGAGGTATAATCCAATTGGTTTTTAGCACACGGGTTTGATGATGATGGTTGGCCGTTGTATCATAATTGAGTAAAATAAAGACTCATCAATAGGCTGAACAGAGATGTTAAAGGATAAGTGGAAGCGGCAGAGATTCCAGCTGACGAATCCAATGAAAGTAGTCCAGGTACTGTAAAGGAATTAGATGGGGGGCAGGTGATAACCAGGAAATCGAGACTCAATAGCTAGATTTGTCTAAAAGGCAGGCCTAAGAACCATGATTTTGAATGTCGACTTCGTTATGTCTATCGTACATATACTTTCGGGGTCATCCATATAAATAAATCATTGATGATTGGGATTAAGGTACTGTGGTTAGCTGGTCAAATAAAATATGAGGAAATAGCTAAATGAAATTTGGAGAAGTGGATTGCAGAGCGGTAGTACCAAGTAGAATCAGGAAGCCCTGCAGATGAGATACAAAACCGATCATAAATGTGATTACGCCTTATTAAACGCGCTTGAGAGGATATGCACAATGAATATAATGTAACAAATGAAAACAGAGGTGAAGATAGGAAAAGTGAAAATGTAAAATTTGATTGAGTAATGATAAAATGCTAAAAGATAGGATAGGAAAAAAGTGAGATGCTACAATAGCTGAACAGAAAATTGTTCAAGAGAGTTGGGAAGTTACGAAAACTAGAACTGTGATAACAGGAATACAATAATGCCAAAAGTTAGACTACGTTTAGTAAGTGCCATTGAACCGCTTTCTGAAGGCGTCCTTAATAAAGGATACGTTAGGCAATATCGTCCATGATAGAAAAACGTACCGCTTGAGCCCAGCCGGCCCATGGACCCCAGAGCCTGGTCAGCCCTTCCGAAGCGGTGCGATAAACCGTTTTGTTGATGCTTCCTGGGAGCTTAAGAGGCACTTTTTTTTCGCATTTCACAGTAGAACGGTCTGAGTAAACAGGAAAGAGATAAATGAGAATCGAGGTCATGCTTTTGGAGAAAATCATTTTAATGATACCTTTAGAATCATTCTTTTTTGTTTTCTTTGCTTTCTCGGACCGATATCTGATTAAGGACGGATGTAAAAAATCGAGAATAACTAATAAATTAAGTTTATCAATAAGTCCATTTTATTCAAATATAAAAAGCCTGGGATGTAGCTGCAGAGCCTTAGTACATTTGCAAACATTTCTACGGCATTTGTAATTGGCATTTTCATTGACAGCAGACATACCAAGGACCGAGATAAAGCTAACCAGTGACAATTTATGGCAATTCTCTAGATCAATTTTCTGCTAAGTGACTATAGTATCTCACCTCGACTTTATTCGCACTAAGGTCATAAGCTGCATTAAGAAAGTCACTTATCCAAAGTTCTGCCTGCTTTTCCCTCGTATTCTCTATAACTGGCTAGTTATAATCGTTAAATCATAGCCACTATATACGCCATAGTCAATAAATCATTCAAGAGTGACCCTGAATCTATGAAAGAACGTGCATGCAAGCTTCACCGAGGATAGCTGGCTTAAAACATGATTCATTTCGTATGAAATGTATTCATCCTATTTCGTTTAAAGTGAAGAAGGACTGGTAGTAGAATTTTCCAACAATTATATGAGTATAACAGGCTCTTTAATTGGATTTCGCATAGCCTCGCTTTTCCAAAAGGTGTTCTCATCCTTAGTGGACTGCAGTTTCGAACTCACCTATGTCTTAGCGACACCCCCAGCGGGACTTGAATCATCACAGTGCAGCATGTAATCTCGACACGTTAACCATCAAGCCATATTGCCAAGAGTTACCATGGGTCACAGGGCATGTTGAATTTCAGGGAAGGCAAAGCATTTTCCCATATCACATTCTTTAGTAGAATTATCGATGAAACAAAGTTATATTTGCTATAACAATCGACTACATTACCCATTTTTCGTTTATGAGTGTGTTCACCCTATTTCGTTTAAGGTGATGAAAGACTGATAGTTAAATTTTCCCATAATGATATGAGTAGAGCTGTCACTTCCATTAAAATTAAACAGCCCTGCTTGATTCATTTCATTCTGTCCTAGTTCCTAGCGCCGCAGCTCTTCTTAGTCCAATTCGACGTGACAAAATTGTGCTATCTACGCCTATCTTGGCCTTCGTTTATAACATTATCTGACTTATGTCTATCCATTTAAGTGGGTGTAGTGAAGCCTAATTACCTTCATCAACGGTTTCGCATCCCATCTGAATCTAATTAGCACCTCCACTCGGTAGTCTACTTAACCTACATTCTTCAGCTGTTTCATCCTGTTTTATTTAACGAACAAATAATAATGCCTTGAACCGAATAAACTTGTAGGTCGTACTTAAGAATTAATACATGTATCAGATAAGCTAATTAATCGAAAAGTATGTCAAGAGAATAGTTTACCTCATTTGGAAGAGCAAAATTCAATCCTCTTTCCAGAGGAGACTGACAGAATGACGCGTCGGATACATGATTAGCTCCAGAACTTAGGAGAATTAGGGTGAGAAACTTTGCGCCTAAGGTAAGTCGTATTAACCATAGTCGTAACAAACTTGAAAAGGATAGGGTAACCAATTTATCCAGTACAATTCTGGAGGATAGTGTGGTACTTTTATTGGAAAAAAGACTCAATTTTGTTCTTCCAAATGAGGTAAGCTATTCTCAGGACATACTTGTTGAAGTAATTAGTTTATCTGATAGATTGCCCGAGGAGGTAAGGAATAGTATTGAACTGGAGGTGATCCCTCATTTTTACCATATAATTCCGCCAAAGAAAGCTTGTCCTCTTAATAGGGTTTCTTTATAACTCTGCGTTAGTAATCTAATCGTAATGAAAGCTGACAAAGGTGGAGCAGCGGTAGTCACGGGTAAGCCAAGTTTTGTAGAAAAAATGCTAGTTCATTTAAATGACACTGCCATCTATATGCCTTTGGTGGGAGATCCAACAGAAAGACTTAAGACTAGGCTAAAGGATGCCCTTATGGTATGCGTAAGTAATAATGAAATGGGGAGATGGAAAATGAATTCAATACTTCAGAGAGATGTAAGGGACCCAAGGCTTATGGTCTTCTTAAGATTCACAAGGAGTGTTTCCGTCTTAGATTAATTGTAAATA